TTCATTCACTGACACTCCATATGGACCGGCAAGCATTCCAACTGATGAACCTTCTTGTCCAAAAAGATAACAAGGGTCTGAACTGTTTGGGTTTCGTGTTAACAGCAAATGGACTGCCTCGAATATGTTCTTCATTTGCTTTCACTGATAGTTGGTATTTTCCTGTGTCTTTGAGGAAATATCTGACTTTGTAGCTACCATCTTTGTTACCTTGGACTCGCACTTCCGTAGCACAGTCATAGCCTTGCTGATTTTTGATTCCCACCATTACACCATCACGCTCGTGGCGACATTGTTCTACCTCTCTATTTCTTGTTGTTAATAAGAATTTCGATGGAAGGCCAATAATCGCTTCAGTGATTCCTTTTCCTTCGGCAGTTGACTGATGAACGATAGTTTTATTCACAAAGGTCATAAATGAGCTGATGCCGTCCGATTTTATACTATCAAGTACTGTTTTGTTTTCTTTGAAACGGAATTGACGAAAACCTTCAAGGTCAGACGAGGATTCTTTTCCATAATCACTGACTTATTCCGGAAAGACTTTGTTCAGTGATTTGTCTAATTGTGTGACCTCGGCATTGGTACCTCGTTTTTAAAAATGTTTCAGTTTTTTCGATCGCTGTTGCTGGCAGTTTCACTTGACGGTTTATCTCGCATTGTTGAGCTCCCACACATCCAAGGGATTCTTTTCGTTGTGTTTCAACTTTGTTGAACATTTCCTTTTTCTTTGTTTGAATGGCTGCGATCATGTTTTCAGCAAGCCCGGTATGGATGTCTCGTTTCACTGCATCAGCTCGCGCCTCAAGACAGTTACACTGTCTCTCAAGGTCAGCGGTTTGATTTTTCTTCTGTTCAATTTTTTCCTTTTGCGACTCGATTAAAGAATGAACTTGTAACTTGCGTTCACTTGCTGCATCTTCTACAAGTATATTAATGTGACCATCATGGATAGTTGCAACACGCGAATTACAAATGGCAACATCACAGTTCTTGCAAAAGAACCCGGGGGGTACTCGATCTATTCCTGGGTGGGGAGGTGCGGCGCGGCGCGGCCCCTCATACCCTGACCCTGTTTAAGACAAATATCGCTGATTTTCCTTTACTGTTTAAGACAGAATTCCGTTTTTTAATACAATGTTTAAGACATTTAATGTGCCTGGTATCAATGCCAAAATCAACGCAATTTAATATTAATTAAAATTAGAGCTTGTAAAAATTTTGCTATTTATCTTCCAAGAAAAGATATCCTGTTTAACACAAAAAGTGATAAATCGGTACCCTGATTAAGACAAAAAATGATAAATTCGATACCCTGTTTAAGAGAAAAATCTCGAAAAACATACCCTGGCTCGCCGCACGTCCCCATTAAGGCCTTATAAGGGATAACCCCCCTCGGGAAAAGAACTTGAGTTCTTCTTTTTCGTAATGCTTCTGTTGGAAAAATGCTGGCCGCTTTAATACATCTTCGATGTCTTGATTTTCAAAATCTTTCAGAGCGAGAACTCGATGCTCTTTATTCGCTTTGATTTTGTTATGAGCAGTGATACACTCGTCACACCAGAACGCACAGCACTGAAAACAGTACGAACTGTGTCTGCTACATTTGTCGCAGTTTCCACATTTCACTCCAGTAGTATGGCATTCTTTGATGGCCAGCACATCTAGCAAACTGTTGATACGAAAGTTTGTGGGCAGATCCTTGAGGTTTCCACTGGT